TGTTTGCATAATGCTCTAAAGGATAGATACATGTACAAGAAGTTATACATGTTGGAAACTAGTTATGCAGGATTAAAATAAATGTATCATGTAAATTTTTATGAACACGCACATATATATATATATTTGTGTATGTTTTTTGGATATGTATATATCTATGACAAATAGAGATTATTTCAGAGACTGATTTAAAATAAATATCTTGTTTATTGCTATTGTAAAAAATTTAATAAATATTTACAGAAAGTTATCATCTCGAAGAAAAATAGATCGTTGTTGTTACTAAACAAAAAAGTTTAACGTTAAAATTTTTGTTTAATCATCAAGTGATTTATTTATTAATTAATTTTAAGTTTGTCTGTAAAACTGATTAAAAATAATTTAATTTAATCCAACCTTGCTTCAAAGAAAATTAATTTTGTTGATAAATTTTCAACGAACGCCAAGTAAAAACAAAAGGATAATGATCCTGATAATGTATTTGGAAAAATCATCAGGTTCGAATATCTTTTTTTTTTTTTTTGCAAATAATTAAAAATTTTTACAAATTTCAAAATTAAAAATATTTATATATGTTATATTTCGTTCTAAAATATTACATAACCTTTTAATTACCATTTTTCGCGAATGTAAATTTTATTTATCTCTGTACGTATTTATACTTCTGTAAGCCACACAGACAGTCACAATGTTATTTAAGACTGCGCCCACAGCTAAGGAAACTCCGGACTAAACTTATTTCTAAAGAACGGCGCACTTTAAAACCTTTTTCCCAGAGCCTATGTCTCTAGACCGGGCAGCAATAAAGCTCCACGATAGTGCACGAGCGCTTTATAATTACTGGTTTTAATCTCGCAACATTATTTCCGAGGAAAAATACACCAGGAGAAATTTTGCCACCGAAACAGGGGGAAGGAGGGGGGTTAACAAGAGTTATTCATCGCGAAGCATTCTTTTCGTTTATTCTATTTTACGCTTGAATTCACTCTCGTATACTTGGACGAAATAAACAAAACAAAACAAAACAAAACAGAAGGAATGCAACAGTCTACATTTATTAAATCTTCAAGATAGTAAAAAATTGACATTGAAACTTGGGTGATGTAATTTCTTTTTTTTTTTCTTTCTTTTTACATTTTGTTTTTTTTTTTTTTCAGTATTACAAAAATATTTTTAAACGTGAAAGTTTTCAGAGATTCGTTTTTAAAATTTAGGATAAAATTCCACAATGGATTGTAATTTATCATTGTTGGTCGCTAATTGGCACAGAATTGGGGAGCAAACAGTTAATGGAAAACAGATATTACCTTCAAAAGATGATGACCTCACTTTGACTTTTTGGTTGTCGGATATTTAATCCTTAACGAAATAGTTAATAGACATCAGTTAACAAGTAGCGATCAAGTCAGCAAATAGAATACATTTGTGTTAATTGAAGCAGTTCAGAACTGGAGATGTCTAATTAACGCGACATTGGCGAATTTCTCTTCTCAGGAATTCTCGTCCAGGAATAGATCTTATCGTCCAAACATGGTATCAACAGCATTGACTTTAATTGCAAAAAATAGCCGAGATGACTTTGCTTAAATTAACGAGATACTTTACTGTGTAATTAATATAATAATGGCGCAGTTAGAACTAATAATTAGTTGTCCAATTACGAATATAAATGAAAAAAAACAACAACATATCCGTGATATTAAAAAAAATAAGTTTAATTTTAACAATAAAAAGAGAAAGAAACAGAACGACATTTATTTATTATCTCAGAAATAACTGAGATCATAATCTTCTACGATCAAAATTAGATAATTCATAATTAAAACTGAAATGAAGACATAAATAAACTAAACCCATTATGGTTAAACGAGTCAGGCAAGAATAAAGCTAGACAAGTATTTTCTCTTTATCCTTCCACCATACGTATCATTAAAAAAAATCAAGATTCAAGAAATGCGTTAAAAAGCACAAAAATTAAGATTAAAAAACCTCACTTTTCAATCACAATCAATATTATTTCAAAGTATCGATACTGCAACTCGTTGCCTGAACAATCGTTCCATCTTTTTCCCAAATATTCGACCCCTCACAAGATGAATCCGTGCACAGTCCTTTTTCCATTGACGTGGCAGAGCAATGGCGGTAAATCACCGAGAAGCCGAATTAATTAGGTCAAAATCATTATCAGCCCTTCTCGCTGGTTTAATGATCTCGACCCTGGCCGTTCAACTTGAATTACCGCCAGTATCATGCATTCGTTGTCTCACGGATAGCTGCGCGCATGCACGAACACGAAAACGTCCGTGTGTGGATGCGAGGTGATCGTGTTCGAAGCCAGAACGCGTCGTTCCAGATAATACGTCAACAAGATCGAGTCGAATTGATATAGGACGCGCCAGGACCGTTAATTCCGCGTGAAACGGCAGGAAGATACGAAGGGAAGGAAGCATAACCCAATATCCGATTAAGGCGACTTCGGTGAATACGATCGAGCCACTCGTACATCTTCCAACAGCAAAACTGTGCGCTTCTAGAGTTTGGATAACATTGTTATCGTCTTTGCATCGCGTTGTTTTCGCCATTTGTTTTTATTCCTCGAATACAGTTGCAAATTTATTGACCGAATCGCTTCTCCGCTCGCTCTTCTCTATTTTGTGTTTCGAAAATCTATTTCTAATCTTTAGAGAGAATATTCGTGTATATATTATCATATATTTATCTGATCGTTTTAGTTGTCCCGCCATGATCATCCTATCCTAATATTTCTGACTAAGAAATACTTGGGAATAAGAAAAATGACGTTCCAGTATCGTTCTATATCTAATAACGTTGATCAACCAAACATTAGACTAGTGACATTTTTCTCATACATCAAACGACATCGGTAACATTCCACGCGTCACGGGAAAAAACGGTTCGAACAGCTCTCGTTTAAAAGCCTGACAATCATCTCGTTTCCACGAAAACGTCTCACCAGCCCATTAAACGTGAAAAACGAACTTTCCACTTCTTCCTAACCTATCTATCAATCATACACCTTACCCACCGCCAACAATTCAAACCTCATCACCGTTCACGATCCAATAAATATTAAAATCGAGCCGCACGCGCAACGACTTCGAGCCACGCTCATTAATGATTCATTTTTTACGGACAATACGTCGACGAATAATTTCGCACGCCACTAAATCGTCATTTGTCCCCTCGTTTTTCCACCTCTCCGCTCGTTTCCACCATGCGTACAAGCGCGCCATCTACCCGCACCAGCGTTAATCGGTCGGAATTTTTTCCCGCGAGCCACCACGCGTAGCCGAAAACGCTCGTCACGAAACATCCGCTCGGCGATCCGTTCAATTTCTGTTGAGCGTAATAATAGCCGGCCAGTATTAGTCAGGTTCACAGGCATTGGACCGCGATCACCGTACGTTTCCAGGGACAAACGAGCGTCGGATCCGGCATCGATGGGACAAAAGACACGCGTAAATAGGCGGATATCGATGCGTGCACCGGGCAGATTTACCAGCGGTAATCGGCCGTGCGTATTAATGAAAGTGTCGAGGTTATTGTTTCGAGCGGTGAGGCGCGAGCGTATTCAGCGGTGGAGTAGGTGGCGCTGGTGTGTCATTCGAATTAATTCGGTTTATCGGGAAACCGTAACACGCACCAAACGACACGGCGGGCTGCACTTTGGAAAAAATTGCCCGGCTACCAACTACCGTGAAAGTGATCATGCGTGTATTCGATGAGGGAGAATAATCTGCGAATGGTCTGTGCCCGATGCGATGTCTGTTTCGGAATTGGAACGGCGAATCGTGCGGTAAAATTGTATCGAATGGTTGTTTGTTCAATAGAAAATAGAAAACTTTTTTTTGCATAGATTTATATCATCGATATTATTAAATTATTATACAAAAGGATAAAATTTAAAAATAGACAAAGATAGAACCATCCTATTTCCAATTCAATTGCTCGTAAATTAAATAAATAAATTTTTCTGCATCTTTTGCATTCGTTTCCAATCTCTCCAAATTTGACAAATTTTATTGACATTATATATTCATTTTAATTATTATTTAAAATAAAACGGTAGCATTTCTTTTATGATATATCTATGTAGACATCATAAACCAGGCCACGGTTATATTTCGCGAGTGTGGTTTCACAGGATGGGGAGGGGAAGAAGACACAGGGACAAGTCGGTGCCGGGTTCCAACAACTTGAACAAGTTCGCAATGCCCGCTACCTTTTGCATGGAATAAACTTCCATCCGCCGTAACTTTAAAATTGATGATCTTGGTCGGCTTACACGTAAGCGTATACGGTTGCACACGAACTCACCTGTCGAGGTTTATCGTGGCCCAGGGAGATGCTGTTGCCCCGCCAAAGAATTTATTTCGATTGGCCGTTTAGCCGCGCGGTAATTATGTCTCGTGGGGTGGGGAGGAGAGAAACGTTCGCGTGTCACGCACCCACCCCTATTGAAATATTACTTAGAAACGTGCAACCGGGATGTATCTTGGTGAAATAGAACTCTACGTTCACGTTATTTACAGTCAGCTGTAAAATTTGTCAGAATTTGAATTCTTTCTTGTTTATATTATTTAATTTAAATTAAACAACGAGAAGATTCATTTTTGACAAGTAATAATTATCGAATCGATAGAATTGAGATTATTGATAGAATCGTATATTTGCAAGTTTGCACACTATATTTAATATAATACAAACATTTTAAAAATTTAAGCAATAATATAATACGAATTCACGATATTTCACTTATTTATCCACGTGACATTCAATCTTCGAGAATAAATAATCTCGACGTACACACACAATATGACACACGTAATCCACACAAACTGTCAACACAATCTATATATCTAGACATCATCCGGGAACACTTGTGAGATAAGAGCTCGACAAAGTATCGTATTCGCAAGTCAGTTGCCATCAACAAGAGATAAGCTTGTGTACATGGCGGGTTGTCGGGACGTCAAATCGGCGAGTAATCTCCATTATCGTGGTCTCTCTCGTATATGAGAATCTTCAGCTGGACGTCCGCGAGGATAATGTTTACAAGACTGCTGTGTGTACAGGTTAAGAGAAATGAACGATCGTCGAACTATTATCGATCGAAAATTCTCTAGTGTGCGACTGTAAATTCGCGTATGTACGCGATACGATAGAAAAATTCCACATCTTGTGGAAATCGTCCGGTATTCGAGTGTAACGTGGCGAAAGTCGATACGAGAACACTTCGTTTACGGACCACTGGGTTGTCCAATCGAACAGTGAACTTCTAACCTAAGTTTCCCATTTACTGAAATATTCTGACGGTGGACTGCGCTTGGTCGTTTCGAATTTCTCTTTTCGATCGTGTACGAGGGCAAATAATCTTGCGATTTATTTAGAAAAAAAATTCTTCGGATATGTGTTTATCTCTGAATTGATTAAAATTATAGATATTAAAAAAAGGAGAATCAGTCATTGATGGCGAAATAAATTTAGTGTAAGAAAAGTGTAGTTGAATAACTAAGAATATGATATTATTATTCGGATAAATAGAGTAAATTATTATAGTTATACGTGAAATAAGAGAGGCCATTTTCTTTTAATTTTTTTTCTTATTATACTATTGAAGAATAGGGGGAAAAAAAGGGAAACGCAATCAAAAGAGCACACGAAACACGTAATTAAATCTGTAAAACATCGTTGTAAAACGCGTTGGGAGTAAAGATGGTAAATTAAAGAGTTGTCGTATAATAAAACAAAGCATCCGGCTTAATTTCGCTTTTGTCCTCAATTTTCTCTGCTTCATGTGCATCACCCTAGACTGTTGAAAATATCGGGTATAAAAAGCATTCGTAGCTAGCACGTTGCAATTACGCCGCGATTCCATTCAGGGTACGAGAGATCGTAGTCAAAGATAGTGGTGTTCGATTGAAATTACACGGGTGGCGTTTAAAGCTTACGACCATTTTTACACTGTAAGTGTCGGAATTTATAGCGACGACCTATTACACGAGCTTATCCACTAGCAATTATGGGAGCAATTAACGAACGAATTTTGCCCATTTATTTAAATTAACTTACCATCGGTTGATAATATAATTCGTAAAAAAACTTTATTGTTATTCCACAACCAGGGGGTGAATTTACGAAGGAAACAAAAAAGACGCGTAAACGCGTTGTTGTTATTTCATTTCTCTCCGATTGAAATGATTGAAAACGGGGAAATAATTACGAAGGGATACAAAATATCAATTCGAAAATGGAGGGGAAGAAAATTAACGAGAACACGGGAGCATCGTTCTTAACTTAATATTCCTAATGGAGTTCGAAAATTAACGAAATATCATGGGCGATCGATCAAAGCGGCGTGCATACGTATTTATTTCCTTTTTTTTTTTTTTTTTTTTTTTTTTTTTTATTAATACGAGATTATTTTGTATCTTTCGCGTTTAAATTTCACCGGGAAATCGGCATCGCGCCGATTTACAGCTGTAATTTCAAACAGAATTTTGATTGGAAATGAAAGTGTTTACGCTTTGGTTATATATTCTTGGCACGGGAACGAGATAAAATAATTTTATTAGCTTTTAGTAGTTTATATTGCTTTAATAAATAGCCCGATAAATTGTCGCGTAAAATATCAGCTTGGATACACATCCGTTAATTGTGCAATATTATTCCTTTCATTTATTGGTATTATTCAAACTTTTGCATTTACGATAAAAATAATTTCACGTTACGTTCGTTCAGAAATTCATTTCCTTTCCGTGCATAACTTCTCACGCGAAATGAACACACGCGCGCGTATTTTTGTTTCCCGGAATTATTCACAAATAATCCTTTCGAGGAACTAATCCTCCACCCTGGTGACTCATCAGAATCGCAAAGAAATCTCTTGTCGCGATTCAAATTAATTTCCAAGATTAAAGCTGCCGGTATCCCGTGGCTCTCGCGTGGCGCGCGCCTCGTAAACAAGATGGTGCACGCGGCAACTCGACTCGAGCGCGCGCGCGCGCGCTCACGTGCAAGAAAATCATCCAACGGCGTTGTAACACTGCGTCGCAAGTTGACCTCGTCCCAAGTTTGCCTCGAGACCGAGATAATTGTCGGTGAGTAACGTCAGCCCCGCCTAAGTAAGATTTAACTCGGCGCAACACGGTATGATTCGGTTATAACTCGATATTAACTGTAACGAAGCACGTCTTGCCTCACTCCAACGGGGCTTAAGCGCCATCGTGTTAACGAAGAACCTATGTGCGTCTATATCGAGCTATGCTCGACCCGCTAACTGACCCACACGCGTACACTTCTGTATATACGTATATAGAATGGTCCATAGTACCTATACTTTAAAAGGATGAATCCGATTTAATTGAAATAAGTAAAACTTTCAAGAGTTATGGATGATTGAAGAAATAACTGTCTTAGAATTGAAGCGTTATTATTATTGACGTTAAAATTCATTTTGTATCTTTTCTTAGATATTAATTAAGGGGTAATGGAATAGAACAAAAGTGACAAGAAAATCATGGACCAAAGTGGAATAAACCAATTATCAGTAGATAAAATAAGTAAACCAGATATGGAACAAGACAATCATTATCAGTCGAATATAATGAATAGAATAAGAAATCCACAGAGAAAAGTATGATAATCCAATCATGGATAAAGAATAGGACAATTGTCATCAAGATAATAACAAAGAGGATAAAAAGAGGAAGTAAATGGAACTAATCAAATACAATAAAATAATCGTGGCTATCTAGACTAAAGAAATAGAAATGAATCAATAAATAAATAACGCATTATACATAAAAATAAGCCATACATTTACATAACACTTTTTACTCAGTTTTTTCAGACTCATCTTTTCAAGCGTGCATTTATGAATCGTCCTATACACCATCCACCGCACACAAAGGCGCATACGTAGAGGCACAGCTTGATTCAAACACTTACACACGAACACGTGACAGAGGAAGGACGATATAGACAACAAACGGGGAAGGGCGTAGAGAGAGAGTAACAGTTACGGCATACGGTAACGCGCCAGTATTGACAAACATCTTCATTAGCTGCCGCTGCTGCTTGTGCGCTATCTGCCTACAAACGACCTATATATACGCCCTCCTCGCCGCTACTCCACCTGCGTCGTTGGCCGCATACCACCAATACCTTCAGACACGCCACCGATTCCGAGCCAAGATTGCCGTTTGATTCGAATTAAAACGACACGTTCAGGTGATGGCCACGTATGCGACTCATACTCGAAGTCAGTTTGGTTACGGTTGGTTTCTCTCTCTGTTGTCTCCGTGGGAAAAGTTCGACCCATGTTTGGATATGAGTTACGGTCGAAATTTCTGCGTTTCGTGTACGATGGTGTACGGTGATTACTTGGCCATGGAGTTTCCTAAATACTTGTCATTCACACTTAATGCTTAGGGGGGGCGCTCGCATCGGACGTGTTTAGTGGAAAGTTTAGTTCTAGTGAATCTGGGGATATGCATTGTTGGTACGAATTGAATTATTAAGTTATCGCCTTTCCTCAGTTTAGAGAAAAACTAGGCGATATTTAATGAAGTGTTGAAGTATAATTTAAATTATTAATTTACTGTGAGATGTATGATTATATAATTATAGTTACGAAAAAGGAGAATAGGAAGTTTTATTAATATTTTAAAATTAACAAGATTGTAGAATTAAAATTTTTCAGAAGAAGAAATGTTCAAAAGAAAACGTGATTATGAAAACAATACGTATTATTTTATTCAAAGAATAATTTGTTTTAACGATGGATTGACAAGAACAATAAAGAGCCACAAATATTCCATAGCTTGAAATATGTAGGAAATATGTCCCAAATAATTATCAACAAAAAGAAGATATTTAAATCCATTCGTGTTATTAAATTTTCCATTATCGAAACAACTTCCATTCAAAAATTTTCCATGCACGTCGATAATTTCGTTCGAACATCTCGAATAATGATGCATCTGACAAACCTGTCCCCTGTAAAATTTATCCAGGTATTCGACGATAAAGTGGAAATAGTGTAGTAGAATCCATAGATTTTCCCCCAGGCAAAAAAAAAAAGATACAAGAATCAGCTCGATTGTAATTCGGCGTAGTTTACGAACACAGATTAAATGGACGAATCGTTCACATCCAAAAGAGAGAGAAAGAGAGAGAGAGAAAGAGGATTAGTGCACGCGGCCAAGTAATGAGCGAAAAGCCGTAGTATTTAACGAGCTCTTAATTCGTGGACTTTGTGACTCTGAATTTCTCTTCGAACGAAGCGAAACAATCGCGCCGAATCGGATAAGCTAATGAAGTTTCGATATTCTTGTAAAGCGAGAATACCGTTTCTTCAAAAAATCTTTTCGAGAGAAGACTTTTCAAAGAGATTCCTTCAACGGAGAAGAAAGCTGAACTCTATCGCCATTAAAAAACGTGGCTTCTTTTCGCAACCGAGTCGATGTTTCTCCGTTTTCTTCATTTTTTCTTCTCCTTCGTTTTCACGCTTTTTTCTCTTCGCGTTCATTCAAATTATAAATACTCTCTCGACGAAAATCCGCTCGTTGGAATATCGAAAATTCGTTAATTAAACTGCATGCCTAAAAGGCGAATAGTTTGTTGACTGTTAAATATAATACGAAGCGCGGGAAAATTGAAAGGCGATTTTAACGTCATACGTGCGCTTTGAAAATATAATTTTTTTTTTTCAGAATATATATTAAAAATTGTTCAGTCTGATTTTTTTCTTTTTTTTCCTTTTTTAAGGAAAATTTACATATGCGAATTTTTAGAGGAAAACTGACGACGTCGGATAAATGCGATACAACTCGAAGCGATTACAAGAACCGGTAAATCAATTTGTTGCGCGAGCATCGTGTCGAAACATGGTAAATGGTTTTCTGTATATTTTGTACAGGCTACTTATTCGCGAATCTTTGCGATGATTTATGAATGAAAGTTTACTTTGTAAGCTAAACGATGTGTGAGCGATTATATCCGAGCTATAATAAGGAAATAAAACGAGCTATTCCGTGCTACGAGATGAAATATTTACGTTTATTATATATTTTATGCTTAACCTAATTTAGAAAGATTTGTTTATAGTAGCAATATTTCTTGCTTCATGACTGCACATAGAATATTATTCTAATTTTAATTTTTATAACAATGATATCGAAATTTTTAGATTAGAGATAAAAAAGAGAATAAGAGTAAGCATAACCTACAAAAAATAATATTCTTGAAACAATTCATTTAAACCAACTTTCACTTCGCAACGAATAACATAATCTTATCTATTATTCATTAAGAAATAAAAAAACGTAACCTCATTCATAAAGAGAAGATAATTTTCTGAAGTGAAAGAAATTATAAAAACGAAATCATTTAAAATCGAGTTGACAACGATCATCCACTGCGTCGAACGTACAAAGAACGGTAGCGACAGTGGCGACAGATGCAATAACGGCGACATTAACAGAAAGCAAGCGACGCACGAGCGACAAGGCAACGGTAGTTGCGATGCAAAGAGGTAATGGTCATAATCCTGTTACCAATTCCATTTGTCGAAACAAACGAACTCCGACCAGTACGTGCCGGCATCGAGCATATCTACCCCATTGTCACTAATACAGTTTCTATCCCACTTCAAATTGGTCCCCTCTCTATTGTCGATAATTAGAATGCCGGTGCGATAGGGCGCGCCACTGTCAGACTTCACCAACCTTTCACGTCAAAGCAGACGTATATCAGACGTGACCGTACAACGGCGATTGGGTCAGTTTCGTTCGGCCAATTACTGCTTTTATATTTGTCGAAACTGTGTGGTTACGTGTGTGTATACAGAGGTGGCTTATTTTGATCACGTGCTATTAGCTTTGATATTATGTCCCCAGAGAGAGAGAGGAGTTTAGCGTGATTAGGGCGCCTGGAGGTTAGGGCTTTGATTTATCGCCATAGCGGCATTTGTTGAGAATATATGGGTCACGAGTGATATTTGGCGCTGGTTGAAATTAATTCAGTAAATTTCGCGATATAATTGAGAAACTGTGTATGATATTATGAAAAGAATATTTTTCTCATAATTTCGAAGACGTTAAAAAGATGAGTGATATTTAATTATTTATTTTATCATATCAAAAAGATTATATGAAAATACACAATTCCAATTAACATCCAATGAACATCAAAGAAAAATATTATAATCAATTTAAATGTAATGATCCTTCAAGTATTTAGTATCTTGACAAAGTTGTAGCATTGTAGATAAATTTTCTTGTATCTCCAACAATCTACGGGAACGAATCACTATGTTTAGTGCAAAGAAATATAGAAACGCATAATAGGTGACGTTATCACTTTCCAGTGATATGAAGGCACGATCACTTGAACGACCATACCAGGAAACAATGTTGCTTAATGTGTTTCTTTCTTGGAAAGGTGGATCCACGAGTAATTGTCGTTAAAAAGTGCACATCGAGGCTGAAAGTTGGCGACGCCCTCCGATTGGATGGTAGGAAACGCGCGACCATGCCATTATTTCCGAGAATAGAATCATTTTCGATGCTATTATCCTGAGTATAGCCGCACTGCAGTTCAACAGATAGACACAATGGCGATGTTTGCACCGTACAGGCATGCATACAGCCAGGCAAGTAGATTAGCTTGATAGGTGGTACAGGCTAGGACTGCCCAGCCACGATATGCTTACTAGATTGATAATACTGGCACGCCGGGGATCGAACGGCCGATAGATAAGTAGAAGCTTCCCCGTATAGATGATGTTCCCGCTTGGCTATACACTACTCGGTTCATCTAATTGCTCGTAAATGACGGATCGTGGTGTCAGGTAGAGAGGAATCGACTTGACGATCCCTCGGTCTAACTTGTAACTGTCAGTTGGATTATATTTTACGATGATGTTTTGGGAATATTGGATTTACGACTGTCGATTTATTTCATTAATGGATATTGATATTTTTGGAGGAGGAAAGGAGTTTGAATGTTTTCTACAATTAATTCAAAGCCGAGCAATCGATTTAAGATTTATATCTGTCTATGTGCAAAAGTGCCAGTATTTTCTGATTTACAACGTTTGAAGTTTCTAACCTAGAAATATTCTTAGTTGGCAAATATTATAAAGTTATTCGTCGCTTGTATCGTGTGCTCATAAAATGTTTCACGTATAATTTATCTTTAAACTACGTCAAGAGAATTTTCTTCCTGATAACACCGCGCTAAAACACGGCGCTCGATATTAATCACTAGCCGAGAAAATACGGGAACGAAAGTTAGTGGAACAACAGAGGACGCCGATTCCGCGCTCATGGCCCCTAAATTTCACGGGGACGCGATTTTATCCGGTATTAATCCCGTGGATGGCAAGCTGTCGCACTCTTCACGCAGCTTCCCGCGCTCCGTTTGCAACATATTGCAAATCCATTACGAGCGGCGTGCTTCGGCTCGTAAAGTTTATCGCGTTATCCATGGTCAGGCGTGTCCGAAATGCACGCGCAATATTCCTGTCGCGGAGTGCATTTCTATGCAGTCGTCCGCCATAAAAGTGAAAAACTTCCCTTTCAAAGTATCCGTAAAATTCCACGGTCATTATGTACTGGTCGGTGAACAAGCGATGGCCAGCGCCATCGCCGATTTTGTTTCGCTTCGTTGCCGCCAGAGGTCTCGATTGTCCATCTTTTACGTAAATATACATAACCATCCATATTTAGCGCGATGAACACCTATTGGAAACTTGATTCCGTTGCATATGAATTTCAACGGATTCGTCGTAACTTTAATTAAAAAATACAATAAATAATGATCTTATTCAGGCTTTAGTGAAAACAATTTTTTTTAATTCTCTACCAAAAAATATATATATATGTATAAATCGCAAAAATACGATTTAACTTCGCGAGTTAAAAAAAAAAGACATCTTAACAATGTCCCATTGTTCGACTTCGATCTGGAACGCGCGATAAACGCGCTCGATCTAATCCATTAGCGGCAACGTGAAACTAGTACGCGCATTCGTAAAATAAGACTGTCTTTCCAGTCGAGCGTTACTGGGTCGAATTCGGTTTTCTTCTCTCTCTCTCTATCTTTTTCTATTTACTTTTTTCCTCTTTCTTTTTCTTCTTTCTTTTTTTCTTTTTCTTTTTTTTTTTTTTCGAGCCTCGGGAAAGACCGATCTGCGGTGATTCGGTTGACCTATTTCTAAATCCCAGCTACGACAGTGACAGAGAGATACGGAATCGTCAAAGAGCATCGGGAATATCCGAAGATTTGAAATCCAGATGGATGGACACGCAGATAGGCGGATCGAACGCGATGGATCACAAAGAGATCGCGTTGACCGGCTGATGGAGAGAGAGAGAGTAGTGGACAGAAGGGAGAGGGAAGACAAAGGAGGAGAAAGAAGAAAGAGTAGGGATAGTTGGGATATGGGAGAAGGTGCTCTGAATTTTGTCTCGATAGATGGAGTGGCTTAGGATGGAGAAAGATAGTTGAGTGGTCGGTCGGTGAGTATCAGCATAAAAAATAAAGCGAAGACTTTTTAGAAAATAAGATAAAACTTTATTCACGCAGAGGGGGGAGAATTTTTAATGGACAGATTATTGGATATGATTCTATAACACAATGATATACAATGATTCTAAATCTTTATCGGAGAGGAGTGATTGATACGGGCAATTTTTAATTTTTAAAATATATTAATTGTTTTTCAATTTTAAACGTACAAATACGTTTATTTTAAAAAACATAGATATACAAGTCTTACGATATTTTAAGGAACTGAAGGTTTTCCAATATTTCTGACAATGTAATCTACCACGGAAACATTTCTCTAGGGTGAACTGTAGTTAGGCGTTCCTAGACCTTTGAGGTCATTCGTATTACGCTGTCTACACTCTATGAGTTCTGTCCGCGAACGATGAAGCGAACAATTTAACGGCGTACCGACAGATCTTGATTCAGGAAATTCCAAACTATTAATCCACAAACTATTACAGTTATTCTTGTCTGTCCATTAAAAATAATCGTCATTCGAGAAATTGTCAAATTTCTCGTAATTATTCCTCCCCAAATTAATATTCTGAATGAATAATATTATTATTCGTTTATTCAAAATTTTTTCGCGTTTTTTAACAATCATATCATTACTTTAGTACAAACAGTTACATCATATCACGATCACAATTACATCATGTACATTTCGTATTCGCGCCAACTAAAATTGTGTTAATTAAACCTTTGTAAAATTTTCACCCCGTGTTCAAAGTTTCTGATATAATTCACATCGAACTTTCAAGTCGCATATTTTCCATTTAATCCGGCGTAAAATATTTCGTGATATCAATTACACAAAATATTCCATTTCAATTCTTACGTAATAAAATTCTCTATGTAATAAAATTATCTTTCAAACTTGATATTAAAATTAAAATTACACGATATATTTTTCACTGCGCTGTGAGAGACAAAAATAAATTTCATGAATCGCGAAAAATATAAATTTTATGAAATTGTTCCCCAAATATTATAAAATAATTTAATATAATTTGTATATTATAGATCAGTCGTCTATTATACATACATAAGATGCGAGATCGACACGTTTGATCGACACATAGAAAGATTACGAACGCTTTATGCGTTTATCGTGATGCCCACCGAATTTCGAGACCCTTTCCACCGCCATTCTCACGCGGCCATTGAATTGAATCCATCTATCAAGTTCAGCCATCGCGATTGGTGCTTAAGGTCGGTTTGTATCCCAGCTTAGAACAAGATACGTTGATTGAATAGCGGTTGATGCACGAGCGGGGCGATATCGAAAAAGGAGACCGTATCAATCCGCTCGTGTGGCCGCGCCATCTAGCAAAAAAAAAAAAAAAAACTTCAAACGGATAAATAACCTTTAACGAGACGCCTCCTTCTCCAGAGGAGGGAACGTCTTTAATTCGACGCCGTACGTTTCGAGAATTTTCACGTT